ACATCTAGAATTTATTTATTACAAGTGTTTCTGTCGCTCAAAAATACAAAAATACTCCACTAGAAACATTAAACAGTGCACCTTTAACTGGATTTTTTTAAAGTCAAATGGTGAATTTTGATGTTGAAAATTTTGAATGTGAATTGATTTTGATTTGATTTATTTTTTGATTTAATTCATTTTTCAGTAGCAAAAGAGACATTTGAACAAAATCCAGTCCTTATTTAGTCCTGGTTTAGTCCAAGATTAGTGACTTGTGTCTTTTTTTTTTGTCTCGGTTCATCTTCCATTTCTGTTGTAGACCTGGTTTAGTCCTGGTTTAGTCCTGTTTAGTCCTGGTTTAGTCCTGGGTTGGTCTTGGTTTTGGTTTAGACCTGATTTAGTCCCAGTTTATTATTTTATTATCACAATATTTGACATGAATATCAGCACTTTGTTGAAATATTGATTTTTATTTTATTTAATTTTTTTTTATCACTCTGCCCATCACTATAAACCAGGAATAAACCAGGACTAAACCCGGACTTAACCCGGATTTAACCCGGATTTAACCCGGATTTAACCAGGTCTAATCCAGGTCTAATCCAGGACTAAACCAGGTCTAAACCTGGACTTAACCAGGACTTAACCAGGACTTAACCAGGACTAAACCAGGACTTAACCAGGACTAAACCAGGACAAAACCAGGTCTAAACCAGGTCTAAACCAGGTCTAAACCAGGTCTAAACCAGGACTAAACCAGGACTAAACCTGGACTAAACCTGGACTAAACCTGGACTAAACTAGGACTTAACCAGGACTTAACCAGGACTAAACCAGGTCTAAACCTGGACTTAACCTGGACTTAACCAGGACTAAACCTGGACTAAACTAGGACTTAACCAGGTCTAAACCAGGACTAAACCAGGACTTAACCAGGACTAAACCAGGATTTAACCAGGACTAAACCAGGACTAAACCAGGACTAAACCAGGTCTAAACCTGGACTAAACCTGGACTAAACTAGGACTTAACCAGGACTTAACCAGGACTAAACCAGGTCTAAACCTGGACTTAACCTGGACTTAACCAGGACTAAACCAGGTCTAATCCAGGTCTAATCCAGGACTAAACCAGGTCTAAACCTGGACTTAACCTGGACTTAACCAGGACTAAACCTGGACTAAACTAGGACTAAACCAGGTCTAAACCTTGATTTAACCAGGACTTAACCAGGATTAAACCTGGACTAAACTAGGATTTAACCAGGACTAAACCAAGTCTAAACCAGGTTTAATCCAGGTCTAATCCAGGACTAAACCAGGTCTAATCCAGGTCTAAACCAGGTCTAAACCAGGTCTAAACCAGGACTAAACCAGGTCTAAACCAGGACTTTTCAGTGAGCCTGATCTTTGGTGGGAGGTTTTCTCAGGGCAGCGGTTGGACCATGTGAAAAAACTGCATTAGGTTCATTCAATTATTCAATACTCTGCTCCCATTACGGTGACGCTCGTCTTCTATCGACGGAAGAACAGAGCGAGAGGAGGAGGAGAGAGGGACGGACGGAGGGACGGAGGGATGGAGGGAGGGAGGGAAGAGAGAGAGAGAAGGAGAGAGCAAGAGGAGAGAGGTAGAGGTCTGGTAGAGGGAGGAAGAAGAGCGACAGGAGGAAGAAAGAAAGAAGATGCAGCTGTGGTCACACGAAGAAAGAGAGAGAGGGAGAGAAGGATAGAAAGAGAGAGGGGAGAAAGGATAGAAAGAGAGAGGGAGGAAGAGGAGAGAGAGAGAGGGAGAGATCTGGTAGAGGGAGGAAGAAGAGCGACAGGAGGAAGAAGAAAAAAAGAGATGCGGCTGTTGTCACGCGAATAAAGAGAAAGAAAGGGAGGAAGAGAGAGAGAGAAAGGAGGAGAAAAAAAGAGATGCGGCTGTATTCACACGAAGAAAGAAAAAGAGGGAGGGAGGGAGGGAGGGAGAAAAGTGGCAGAAAGAAGAGAGTGTAAAAGAGTGAGGGACTGAGAGAGAAAGAATAGAGAGAGAAGGAGAGAGAGAGGGATCTGGTAGGGGTAGGAAGAAGAGAGAGAGAGAGCGAAGAAGAGAAAGAGAGAGAAGAAGAGATAGAAAGAGAGAGGAGGAGAGAGAGAAAGAGAGAGAAGGAGAGAGATAGAAAGAGAGAGAGAGAAGGAGAGAGATAGAAAGGAGAGAGAGAAGAGGAGAGAGATAGAAAGAGAGAGATAGAAAGAGAAGGAGAGAGAGAGAAAGAGAGAAGGAGAGAGAGAGAGATCTGGTAGGGGTAGGAAGAAGAGAGAGAGAGAGCGAAGAAGAGAAAGAAGGAGAGAAAGAGAGAGGAGAAGAGATGGAAAGAGAGATAGAAAGAGAGAGAGAAGGAGAGAGATAGAAAGAGAGAGAGAAAGAGAGAGAGAAGGAGAGAGAAGGAGAGAGAGAGAGATCTGGTAGGGGTAGGAAGAAGAGAGAGAGCGAAGAAGAGAAAGAAGGAGAGAAAGAGAGAGAAGAGAGAATAGAAGAGAGAGAGAGAGAGAGGAGAGAGAGAGAGAGAGAAGGAGAGAGATAGAAAGAGAGAGAGAAGGAGAGAGATAGAGAGAGAGAAGGAGAGAGATAGAAAGAGAGAGAGAAGGGGAGAGAGAGAGATCTGGTAGGGGTAGGAAGAAGAGAGAGAGGGAAGAAGAGAGAGAAGGAGAGATAGAAAGAGAGAGAAGGAAAGAGAGAGAAGGAGAGAGATAGAAAGGGAGAGAAGGAGAGAGAGAGAGAGATAGAAAGAGAGAGATAGAAAGAGAGAGATAGAGAGAGATAGAAGGAGAGAGAGAAGGAGAGAGAGAAGAGAGAGAAGAGAGAGAGAGAGAGAGAGAGAGAGAGAGAGAGAGAGAGAAGAGAGAGAAGGAGAGAGAGAGAGAGAGAGAAGGAGAGAGAGAAGGAGAGAGAATAGAAAGAGAGAGAAGGAGAGAGAGAAGGAGAGAGAGAGAGGAGAGAGAGAGAGAGAAGAAGAGAGAGAGAGAGAGAAGAGAGAGAAGAAGGAGAGAGAGAAGGAGAGAGAGAAGGAAGAGAGAGAAGGAGAGAGAGAGGGAGAGAGAAAGAAAAGAGAGAAGGAGAAGAGAAGGAGAGAGAGAAGGAGAGAGAAGAGAGAGAGAGAGAGAGAGAGAGAGAAGGAGAGAGAGAAGGAGAGAGAAGGAGAGAGAGAAGAGAGAGAGAGAGAGAGAGAGAGGAAAGAAGAGAGAGAGAGAGAAGGAGAGAGAGAAGGAGAGAAGAGGAGAGAGAGAAGGAGAGAGAGAGAGATCTGGTAGGGGTAGGAAGAAGAGAGAGAGGAAGGAGAAAGAAGAGATGCAGCTGTAGTCACACGGAGAAAGAGAAAGAGGGGAAAGATAGAGGGATGGGGGGGTAGGGAGAACGGATAGAAAGAGAGGGAGAGAGAGAGAGAGGAGGGGATATAGAGAGAGGAGAGATTAAAGTGAGGAGGGAGAGAGAGAGAAGGAGAGGGAGATCCAGTAGGAGGTAGGAAAAGAGAAATATGAGAGAAAAAAAGAGAAAGGGGGAGGAGAAAGAGGAAGGAAAGGAGAGAGAAAAGTGGCAAAAGAAAGAAGAGAAACAAGAGCGTAAAAGAGTGAGGGATTGAGAGAGAGAAGGAACTAACTGTAAAGGTGCACTGTGTAACTTTTCTGGTGGGAATGTTCCAGATCTGCTTCTCTTCATGGCGACAGGTCCTGCATGTTCCACACTGCGGCATTAAACTGTCCAGAAAACAACACCAACATGTTTTTATGTCAACTTGAACAAACGATTTTATGGTGTTTGGTCACATTGAAATGAACTTCAGGATTAAATCATAGACGGTTTATGTTGGTGTTTAAAAGGACTAAACCAGGTCTAAACCAGGTCTAAACCAGGTCTAAACCAGGTCTAAACCAGGTCTAAACCAGGTCTAAACCAGGAGTAAACCAGGATTAAACCAGGTCTTAACTAGGTCTAAACCAGGTGTATATCAGGACTAAACCAGGATAAAACCAGGACTAAATTAGGTCTAAACAAGGACTAAACCAAGTCTAAACCAGAACTTAATCTGGTCTAAACCATGAATAAAACCAGGAGTAAACCAGGTCTACACAAGGACTAAACCAGGACTAAACCAGGACTAAACCAGGAGTAAACCAGGTCTAAACCAGGACTAAAGCCGGTCTAAACCAAAACTAAACCTGGACAGAACTAAACCAGGACTTAAAAAGGTGTAATCTAAAGTAGGTCTAAACCTGGACTAAACCAGGTCTATATCAAGACTAAACCAGGTCTAAACCAGAACTAAACCAGGTCTAAACCAGAACTAAACCAGGACTAAACCAGGACTAAACCAGGACTAAACCAGGTCTATATCAAGACTAAACCAGGTCTAAACCAGAACTAAACCAGAACTAAACCAGGACAAAACCAGGACAAAACCAGGACAAAACCAGGACAAAACCAGGATAAAACCAGGAGTAAACCAGGTCTATATCAAAACTAAACCAGGTCTAAACCAGAACTAAACCAGGACAAAACCAGGACAAAACCAGGACAAAACCAGGATAAAACCAGGAGTAAACCAGGTCTAAACCAGGACTAAAGCCGGTCTAAACCAAAACTAAACCTGGACAGAACTAAACCAGGACTGAAAAAAAGTTTTAATCTAAAGTAGGTCTAAACCTGGACTAAACCAGGTCTATATCAAGACTAAACCTGGTCTAAACCAGAACTAAACCTGGTCTAAACCAGAACTAAACCTGGTCTAAACAGGACTAAACCAGGACAAAACCAGGACTAAACCAGGACTAAACCAGGACTAAACCAGGACAAAACCAGGTCTATATCAGCACTTAAAAAGGTGTAAACTAAACCAGGTCTTAACCGGGTCTAAACCAGGAATAGATATATATATTCGTGGACATTAAAGTCAGTATCCGATTTGTTTAAAAGTCCAAATGTCTGATCTTCTTCTTCTTCTTCTTCTTCTTCTTCTTCTTCTGCTGGTTTGTGCGCAGGTATCAGCAGGTGCCCGTGGTCCTGGTGGGGAACAAAGTGGACCTGGAGGACGAGCGGGAGGTGTCCCTGGGCGAGGGGCAGGCCCTGGCCGAGGACTGGGGCTGTCCCTTCATGGAGACGTCGGCCAAGAGCAAAACGATGGTGGACGAGCTGTTCGCCGAGATCGTGCGACAGATGGACTTCTGCCCCCTGCCTGACCGGAGGAGAGTCTGCTGTCCCAAGTGCAGCCTGCAGTAGCAACAGGAAACTCAACGACGGTGCTTCAAAACGTCACACAGACGAGAAAGAAAAACTCGATTCAGATTAGGAAAGGAGCGGTTTACACTGAGGAGTAAAACGGACCAAACCCAGGGCCAAATCTGGACTAAATCTAGGTCTAAACAAGGTCTAAACAAGGTCTAAACCAGGATTAAAGCCAGGACTAAACCAGGCCATAAACTTGGAAGAAATCAGGACTAAACGTGGATTAAACCCCGGTCTCTACCAGGACTAAACCAGGACTAAATGTGAACTAAAACCAGGACTAAACCAGGACTAAATGTGAACTAAAACTAGGACTAAACCAGGACTAAATGTGAACTAAACCCAGGACTAAACCAGGACTAAATGTGAACTAAAACCAGGACTTAAACCAAGGACTAAATGTGAACTAAACCCAGGACTAAACCAGGACTAAATGTGAACTAAAACTAGGACTAAACCAGGACTAAATGTGAACTAAAACCAGGACTAAACCAGGACTAAATGTGAACTAAAACCAGGACTAAACCAGGACTAAATGTGAACTAAACCCAGGACTAAACCAGGACTAAATGTGAACTAAACCAGGAATAAACCTAGGTCTAAACCAGGACTAAACCAGGACCAAACGTGATCTAAACCCAGAACTAATCCAGGACTAAACCAGGACCAAAGGGGAACTAAACCCAGGACTAAATCAGGTCTAATCCAGGACTAAATATGAACTAAACCAGAACTAAACCCGGGACTAAACCAGGACTAATCCCAGGACTACAATGTGAAATAAACCCAAGTCTCTACCAGGACTAAACCAGAACTAAACCAGGACTAAACATGAACTAAACCCAGAACTAAACCAGGACTAAACCAGGTCTAAACTAGAGCTTAACTATACAATAAAACAAAACAAAATCAGGACAAAGGTTGGACTAAACCGGGACTAAATCAGGACTAAAACCAGGACTAAATGAGGTCTTAATGAACAAGGTCTAAACCAGGACTAAATGTGAACTAAACCCAGGACTAAATCAGGACTAAACCAGGACTAAATGAGGTCTTAATGAACAAGGTCTAAACCAGGACTACATGTGGACTAAACCCAGGACTAAACCAGGTCTAAACCAGGTCTAAACTTGGGCTAAACTATGGAAAAAGTTTGAAGTAAAGAAGAAATACACCACGACTAATCCAGGACTAAAACAGGACTAAACCAGGTCTTTAACGAACCAGATCGAAACCAGAACTAAACCACGACTAGACCAGGACTAAACCAGGACTAAATTATTTGCACTTATTTAAAAAAAGCCGCTGGGTTCGTCTCATTCTCAGTGTAAACTCGCTCTCTGATTGAATCTCTACCTGATTTCTTGACTATTGCATTCTGGGAAATGTAGGCAAAAGACACACGTAGCCAAAATTCAGGTTTAAAGACAATTTCACAACTTTCTGCTGGACTTTTTTTTTTTTTTAATTTTTACAATAACTTTCGTCTCATTCTTCATTGTCTTCCTTTATTTAATTAACGCGATTCCCAGAAGAGAGAAACGGTGCCAAAATCCTCCATCTGAATCATCGGAGCGAGGAGGAATCTGCGGAGAGGTTTGGGAACGTTGCCATGGAGATAATGCAATTCAGCAACTTCGTCTGCATCTACAGCGCAATGCCGTGCAAAAGTTTTGGGGTCTAAATCAGGACTAAACCAGGTCTAAACCAAGACTGAACCAGGTCTAAACCAAGACTAAACCAGGATTTAAAAAGGACAAAAATAGGACTTAAACAGGTCTAAACCAGGATTTAAAAAGGTCTAAACCAGGATTTAAAAAGGTCTAAACCAGGACTTAAACAGGTCTAAACCAGGTCTAAACCAGGACTTAAAAAGGTTGAAAACCAGGTCTAAACCAGGTCTAAACCAGGACTTAAACAGGTCTAAACCAGGATTTAAAAAGGTTTAAACCAGGACTAAACCAGGTCTAAACCAGGACTTAAAAAGGTCTAAACCAGGATTTAAATAGGTCTAAACAAGGTCTAAACCAGGACTAAACCAGGACTTAAACAGGTCCAAACCAGGCCTAAACCAGGATTTCAAAAGGTCTAGACCAGGTCTATATCAAGACTAAACCTGGTCAAAACGAGGACTAAACCAGGTACTAAATAAGGATTAAACCAGGTCTAAACCAGGACTTAAAAAGGTCTAAACCAGGTCTTAACCAGGTCTAAACCAGGTCTAAACCAGGTCTAAACAAGGTCTAAACCAGGTCTTAAAAAGGTCTAAACCAGGTCTAAACCAGGTCTAAACAGGTCTAAACAAGGTCTAAACAAGGTCTAAACCAGGTCTTAAAAAGGTCTAAACAAGGTCTAAACCAGGTCTAAACCAGGTCTTATCCAGGAGTAGATATATATAGTTAGAAAATGGGTTAAACCACAAAGCAAAAAGCACTAATTTTGGGTCTAAACCAGGTCTAGCCTCGGTCTAAACCAGGACTAAACCAAACCAAAGAACTTGATCAAATCAGGTATAAACCAGGACTAACAATGCAAACGGTACTCGGTCTTGAACTTGAACTAAATTAAAACGCTTGGTCTTAAACAAGGTCTAGAGGGGGACTTAAACCGGGTCTAAAGGAGGACTCGGACCAGACCAGAGTCCACGAGTCAAACGTTTCTAAAACTTTTGCACTTTACAGAATATTTTGATTTGTACATGAGTCTGAACAGCTGTGGTCTCACTGTGAACACATCCGCCTGTAGAAAGAGAACGACCGATTTTAACGAATGAATGTCGACGTTTAAACAAATCGCACCTTTTTGACGTGAGGACCCCGAAAAATGTTTTAAAAACTGTCCAAAAATGCTTGTAAAATTGTGGATTAAATGTGCATGACAAATAAAAACCTGCACTGACTTGAGTACAATCACAAAACGAAAACAAAAAAAACACGGGCGAGATTCTGTTTGAAGTGACTGGACTGGTCTTTAAAGCTGCATTGCGTAACTTTTTCCCCGGTCCAGAGTCTGCCGGCTGCTTGTCTCCATGGAGATGTCGAGTGCTTTGCCTGGAATGTCCCGCGGTGTAGCTTTTAAATGTCGATTTCACCCGTTTCTGTCGCTCGAAAATACCTTGAAAATGCACGTGTTCTTACTGTGAGCGGCGTCGCCTCTCCGCAGATCTGACCCGTAACTCGGTAGCTTAGTGGCGTCGAATCCTCGTCTCCATGGCGATAGATAAGTTTAATGAACAATTTTCTTCGTTATTTGTTTCCAAAACCAAAAAAAAAAAAAAAAAAAAACAAAAAAAACGGATAATGATTAGTTTTTTCAATTTTCAGTTTTTTTTTTTTTTTTTTGTTTAAATGAAAAATGGAAAAACTGGATAACGGCCGTTTCCTGTTTCTGAAACTTAAATTGTGATGCCGGATTTTTGTGCCGCATACGGACTGAACCAGGACTAAACCAGGACTAAAACAGGACTATAAACCAGGTCTAAACCAGGTCTAAACCGGGATTAAAACAGGACTAAACCAGGACTAAAACAGGACTAAAACAGGACTATAAACCAGGTCTAAACCAGGACTAAACCAGGACTAAACCAGGACTAAAACAGGACTAAAACATGTCTAAACCAGGACTAAACTAGGACTAAACCAAGTCTAAACCAGGACTAAAACAGGACTATAAACCAAGTCTAAACCAAGTCTAAACCAAGTCTAAACCAAGTCTAAACCAGGTCTAAACCAGGTCTAAACCAGGACAAACCCAGGACTAACCCAGGTCAAACCCAGGACTAAATCAGGACTAAATCAGGACTAAACCAGGTCTAAACCAGGACTATAAACCAGGTCTAAACCAGGTCTAAAACAGGACTAAACCAAGACTAAACCAGGTCTAAGACAGGACTATAAACCAGGTCTAAAACAGGACTAACCCAGGACTGAACCAGGACTAAACCAGGTCTAACTCAGACCTGGAGTCACGCCTGCATAGACTGTCAGGTGATCAGGACTGAGACCGGGACCGAGACCGGAATCGGACCGGGGACCAGACTCGGACTGAGACCAGTTTAGTCCTGGTTTAGTCTGTACGCGGCGCCAAAGTCCGGCATCGCAGTTTAAGTCACGGAAACAGGAAACGGCCGTTATCCGAAAATAGTCGTTTTTTTCGTTTTCTTATTTTTGGTTTTATTTTGAAAAAACGAATGAACGAACCAAACACAGATTTTTTTTTTTTTTTTTTTGAAATTCAAAAGAACGACTTGTGCACTGACCTGTTTTGAATGTTAAAAAACTATAAAAATTTTGTCCCCGAGTGTCATTACTGCGGAACATTCCAGGCAAAACAATAACGTGTAATGGCAACTAGCATGATAACCGTGCACTTCCTGATTATGGGACACGTTTTATTCAAATACAAGCGGAAAAAATAAATCAAAATCAGGTACAGGAGGGTTTACTTGTGTCTCTCAGACCGCTCTTACTCACTTCTCCAGAATCTCGTCTTGAAATTCCGATGAAAAGTTCCACAGTGTTCGTCTCCACGGTTACAGCTGTTTTCAAAATGCCTTGTTACATCGAAGTGTTTCTCAGTGTCTCTTTACGTCACTTATTCTTGCAAAAAATAAATCTTTATGCACAAAATGTCTGGAGGTTTTTATTTATTTTGTTTGTTTTTATCGCAAATTAGACCAGAGACTAAACCAGGACTGAACCAGGACTAAACCAGGACTAAACCAGGTCTAAACCAGGTCTAAACCAGGACTAAACCAGGACTGAACCAGGACTGAACCAGGACTGAACCAGGACTAAACCAGGACTAAACCAGGTCTAAACCAGGACTAAACCAGGACTGAACCAGGACTAAACCAGGTCTAAACCAGGACTAAACCAGGACCAGGACTGAGGACTGAACCAGGACTGAACCAGGACTGAACCAGGACTAAACCAGGTCTAAACCAGGTCTAAACCAGGACTAAACCAGGACTAAACCAGGACTGAACCAGGACTGAACCAGGACTAAACCAGGACGGAACCAGGACTAAACCAGGATGGAACCAGGACTAAACCAGGACTGGAACCAGGACTAAACCAGGACTGAACCAGGACTAAACCAGGTCTAAACCAGGACTAAACCAGGTTTAAACTAGGTCTAAACCAGGACTGAACCAGGACTGAACCAGGACTAAACCAGGACTAAACCAGGTTTAAACCAGGTCTAAACTAGGACTGAACCAGGACTGAACCAGGACTAAACCAGGACTAAATGAGGGCTAAACCAGAATTAAACCAGGACTGAACCAGGACTAAACCAGGACTGAACCAAGACTAAACCAGGACAGAACCAGGACTAAACCAGGACTAAACCAGGTCTAAACCAGGACTGAACCAGGACTGAACCAGAATTAAACCAGGACTGAACCAGGACTAAACCAGGACTAAACCAGGTCTAAACCAGGACTGAACCAGAATTAAACCAGGACTGAACCAGGACTAAACCAGGACAGAACCAGGTTTAAACCAGGTCTAAACCAGGACTAAACCAGGTTTAAACCAGGTCTAAACCAGGACTGAACCAGGACTAAACCAGGACTAAACCAGGTCTAAACTAGGACTGAACCAGGACTGAACCAGGACTAAACCAGGACTGAACCAAGACTAAACCAGGACTAAACCAGGACAGAACCAGGACTACAACCGAACTAAACTGAGCCAAGTTTTAAAGTTCGACTGAACCAGGTGCTAAAGCTTGATTAAACCTGGACTAAACCAAGACTAGACCAGGGACTGAACTAAGGACTGAACCAAGACTGAACTTGGACTAGAGCAGGAACTCAACCAGGACTAAACAAGGACTAAATCAGGATCTAAAGCAAGACAAAATCAGGACTAAACTAGGATTAGATCAGGGACTAAACCAGACACTCAACCAGGACTAAATCAGGACTGAGCAAGAACTAAACCAGAACTAAGCCAGGACTGAACCAATACTAGACCTGGGACTGAACCAAGACTACAGCAAGATTAAACCAGGACTAAATCAGGACTGAATGAGGACTAAACTAGGACTAAAGAAGGACTGAACCAGGGACTAAACCAGGATCTAAAGCAAGACTAAACCAGAACTGAACCAGGGATTAACTCAGGACAAAACCAGAGACTAGACCAGGACTAAACCTGAATCAAGACTAGACCTGGGAATGAACCAGGGACTAAACCAGGACTGAATGAAGGACTAAACCAGAAACTAGACCAGGGACTGAAACTAGACTAACGCAAGACTAAATCAGGACTGAACTAGAACTAAACCAAGTCTAACCCTGGACTAAACCAGGACTAGACCAAGACTAAACCAGGACTGAACTAGAACTAAACCTGAACCAAGACTAGACCAGGGACTGAAACAAGACTAAACCAGGACTGAACTAGAACTAAACCAAGTCTAACCCTGGAATAAACCTGTACTTAGACCAAGACTAAACCAGAACTAGACTGGGACTAAACCAGGACTAAACCAGGGACTAACCCAGAGACAAGACCAGGAATAAACCAGGACTGAACCAAGACTCAGCTTTAACTAGACCAGGGACTAAACCAGGACTAAACACGAGTCTCACTCATGTTTTTACCTTTTTCTCTCGCCGTAGTTTTGCTAAAATCCAAAACCAGATCCCACTTTTCAGACGTTCATTTGTCAAACTCTGAGCGTCGTTACCGAACATTAAAAATATTAAAAAGTTGGAGCCAAGACTCGGATTTTGGACGACGGCCAATCAGAGCGCAGAGTCTGATTTATACTGAGCCAATAGAAGAACAGATTTTTACTTTTACTTTCACTTTCGTAATTAAAGGCGACGTTTATTTTTATTAATACTCCTCATACGATACGGTGTAATCGTTTATGCAGCAGACTAACGATTTTAATTTAATTTATCTCATGTTTTTTGAGGCCGACTTGGCTCCGTCGCACGATTATTAAAAAAAATACTCTTGGAAATCAACAAACGCCACATCCAGGACTCCGGGGATTAATAAAGTTATGTTCATTTTGAAAGTTGAAAAGATCAGGTAAGAAAGGAAACGTAAACATTTTTTTTTTTTTTTTTTTAGAAAGTGGAAACCATTTATTGATTTTTTTTTTAAACAGTTTAAGTTTTTTTTCAGTTTTCGATTTTGTGTTTAAAAGGAAAAATGGAAAAAATGGATAACGGACTTTTCCCTTTCATCCAGTTTTGACTCTTTCGGACTAAACCGGGTCTAAAGCAGGACTGAACCAGGACCGAACCAGAGGTGTGCCCGTGTAGACTGTTGGATGATCAGGACCAAGACTGGGACCAGACCAGGACTGAGACCGGGAGCAGACTGGGTCCAAGACCAGAACTGAGACTGGGATCAAGACCAGGACTGAGACTGGGACCAGACCAAGACTGAGACCGGGACCAGACCGGGGACCAAGGACAGAACTGAGACTGGGACCAAGGACAGAACTGAGACTGGGACCAAGATCAGGACTGAGACTGGGACCAAGCCGGGACCAAGACCAGGACTGAGATCAGGACCAGACCAAGACTGAGACCGGGACTGAGACCAGGACCAGACTGGGATCCAGAACGGGACCAGCCCGGGGCCGAGAACAGGACTGAGACTAGGACCAGACCAAGACTGAGACAGAGACCAGACTGGGACCAGGACCAGGACTGAGACCAGGATAAGACCGGGACTGAGATTATTTTTCTTTCAGCATTTCTTTCTTTCTTTTTTTTTTTTTTTTTTTTTTTATAATTTTTGTCATTTTGAAGGAACGAATACCCAGCACATTATTAACTAAATAAACATAAGACATAAGAAAATTTAAGACAAAAAAAAAGTACAAAACAGTACAAAAATATAAAATACAATTATACAAGCATTTACATACACACACATTTTGACATTTTAACCTTTTTTTTTTTCAGATAACAGTATATTATGTTATTTTACTGTGCTTTGTCCAAATGAGGTTTTGTTTTTGTGTTTATTTGTTTTTGTTTATTTGTTTTTTGTTCAGCTGAGCGTAGAAATCCATAGAAATTAAATCCAAAACATCTATGTCAAAGCACATTACGTTTTCGTTCCTTCCAATTCATTATAATAATAAGTTTAGCTGTAAAAAAAAACTGAATAAAATCAAAACTCAAAATCTTTTAGAGTTTCAATGAATTTCCTAAGCGGTCTAACAGCGCCCCCTGCTGCCCGATTTGTTACACTCCACCCCGGAACTTTTGAGCGTCTCCCTTTGTTTCCGCCCGACTCCAAATCACGCGTAACACCAGAGCGAGGCATGGCGTCCTTCACGAAGCTCCAATAACAACAATATTTCAGCATTTTTGCGCATTTAAAGTCTCGTTTTTGTTCGTATTTATTATTTTTAGTTCAGAATGGCGACGAAGAGCGCGTGCACCGTTTTCCGGCGACGTAAGTGTGTTAGTGTTAGCGACATTTTAGCTGAAATCAGAAAAAACTGCAGACAGAATGACACAAAATCATTTAATATTTACTTTTTTGCACAATTAAATAACTACCTTTCGTTATATTATTATCTGTTGCTTTTAAATAAACGCTTGAACAGTTTATACACTTAAAATATTTCAGTGTATTTTCATAAAACTAATAAATATGTGTAAGAAAATGTTAATGTGATGTAATTTCTCAAGTTCAGACATTTTTTACTCACAGAAACAAATATTAATGTGTGAATTAGTTTTAATCTAAAACAATATATGTAATTATTATGTATAAAACCTGAGAGAAACACAGACAAAAACATTATTTTACTTTTTATTACGAATCAGACGAGTCATTTGCGGTAGTCATGGCAGCTAAATTCGTAACTCAATCATATTATTTTTATTTTTACGTTATATAATTTATTTATATTTGCACAGCTATTTGGTATCTGTTATTTTAAATTTGAGGGCTAAATAGTTTTTCTGTCTCTTAACTTTTCTTTCTTTCTATTTCTTTCTCTCCTTTCCTCTTACACTCGCTCTTTCTCTCTTCTTTCCTCTCCCTCTCCTTCATTTTTCTGTCTTTTTCTCTCTCTCTCCTCTTTTCCCTCTTTATTTTTTCTTCTTTCTTTCTGTCTCTGTCTCTCTCTTTCTTTCCTCTTTCTCTCCTTTTATCCCTCCCTCCCTCGTTCTCTCTCTCGCTCTTTCTCTCTCTCCTTTCCTCTTTCTTTCTATCTATCTCTTTCTCTCTCTCTCCTTTCCTCTTTCTTCTCTTTCTTTCTTTGGTAACACTTTATTATAACTACACCTTATTTAGCCTTAATAAAGCGTGAACAAAGACGTAATTAATAATGATTCACGCTTAGTAACTACTTAATTACTACCTGAATTAGCACTTAACTTGCACTTAATTCGCCTGTGCTGTAAATAGTTACTCATAAGTATTTCTTACTTAATTACTCATGAACTAACCATTTATGTGTGCATTTGTAAATGTATATTTAAGTACAAATTTGAACATTTATTAATGATTATTAAGCCATGAGAAAATGATTTACTAGTAATGCATTATTGTTTCTCTGGAATTTGATCAACCTTAACAAATGCTTAATAAACATAATTCATCTTCACTTTACAAAAGCTCTCAGAAAGACTTAACTAACAGATAACAGCCGCCTGAATGATCATTGTATTGTATTATTAGTAAATCATTCTCTCATAGCTTACTAATCATTAATAAATGCTCAAATGTGAACTTAAATATACATTTGTTAACATGCAAATGGTTAGTTCATGAGTAATTAAGAAGTATTGAGTAACTATTTACAGCACAGGCGAATTAAGTGCAAGTTAAGTGCTAATTCAGGTACTAATTAAGTAGTTACTAAGTGTGAATCATTATTAATTAAGTCTTTATTCATGCTTTATTAAGGCTAAATAAGGTGTAGTTATTATAAAGTGTTACCCTTTCTTTATGTCTCTTTCTCTCTCCTTTCCCCTCTTTCGCTCCTTTCCTCTTTCTTTCTCTCTCTCTTTTATGTTGAAAGTTTTAAACTTTGGAACAAATCAGAAAATCAAGGTGAGATCCAGAGTCAAACCCTTTTAGTGAGAGGAGGAGTCCAGTCCAGGTTAACCACTCTGCCACACTTACACATATTTACGTTGTGGTTTTTTTCTCCAGGTTTTGCTTCGGCCGCCGCTGTCGTCCGTCCCTCGGCCGCTGAGGTCAGAGGTCACAGAAACGCGGTGTTTTCTCGAGAGCAGAGCCGGCAGAGGGCGCTGTTTCCCCGCATCGAGAAGATCGAGGTGTCGATGCAGGGCCCGGGTCTGGACGGGACGCTGCTGGTGATGAACAGAGGCATGTCCACGCCGCTCAACTGCGCACGACGTGAGTTTGAGACCGGGGACGAGGACCGGGGACGAGGACCGGGACGAGGACCGGGCACGAGGACCGGGCACGAGGACCGGGCACGAGGACCGGGGACGAGGACCGGGGACGAGGACCGGGGACGAGGGACCGGGGACGACCGGGGACGAGGACCGGGGACGAGAGCAAGAATTAGACCAGGGACGAGACCAGGGACGAGACCACGAATCAGACTAGGGACGGGGACGAGACCGGGGACGGGACGGGGGACGGGACCGGGGACGGGACCGGGGACGAGACCGGGGACGGGACCGGGGACGAGGACCGGGGACGAGGACCGGGGACAAGAGCAAGAATTAGACCAGGGACGAGACCGGGGACGTGACCAGGATTTAGACTAGGGACTTGACCAAAAATTAGACCAAGAATTAGACCAAGGACTAGACCAGGAATTAGAGCAGAGATTAGACCAAGAATTAGACCAGGGACGAGACCAAAAATCAGACCAGGGACTAGACCAGAGACTGGACCAGAGACGAGACCAAAAATTAGACCAAGGACTAGACCAAGAATTAGACCAGGGACGAGACCAGCGCCACAAACTTAAAATTACTAAATTTATTTTTGTGAACCACTGAGATCGGCCTTAAAATTACGAGTATAATTCAGATTTAGATTTATTTATTAAGAAAAGACGACTTGTGTTTTCTGCTGCAAACCGTGTCAGGCTCCAGTTCTCAAAGGCGGCAATATTTCAGTTTCTTAAAGAGATAAAGCGTGTCTCTGTGGCTTGTGTTTCGTTCAGATTTGACAGAGTACCACGTGACGTCTTCGGTCTTGGCTTTGGTCGACGGGGAGCTGTGGCCTCTTCACAAACCGCTCACAGACTCCTGCTCCCTCCGACTGCTCACGTTTAAAGACCAAGACCCCACAGCCGTCAATCAGGTACGAAGACCAGAAATACAGTTTAAATATTACATCTATGACACTGATCCGTGTTCTAATGTCGCTTCCTCGTCACAAACAGACCTGGAGTTGTCAATAGTTTTGGTAATTCTTGTTGAAATGACCTCAAATTTTCACAGAATGTACAGAAACGTCTTGGAATCTGCTCGCACACACACTCACCCAAGACTGTGCAGCTTCAGTGCAACATTTGGAAAAACTTCACCAACTGGCAAACATAAGAATAACATGCATAAACTGTCTTCCTCTTTAAATTTTTGGTACCAAATCCAAATTTGTTTGCCAGTTGGTGAAGTCTTTCCAAATGTTGCATTGAAGCTGCACAGTCTTGGGTGAGTGTGTGTGCAGCAGATTCCAAGGCACAAAATGACTTCTCTTTGGGAATGAACGGCTCAACCTGAGAACAGAACAAAAATAAAACATTAAACATAAAATCTTGATCTGTTTCGGTTAGGGAATTTCTCCTGTGGTGTGATATGCGGCGATATCGCACCCTCTCCTCCAAACTCTGTCTATATTATCATTCAGTCTAGTTAATCATTTATTTCTGTTTTGTTTTGTTTTGTTTTGTTTTGTTTTGTTTTTGTTTTTTTCTGCAGGCGTACTGGCGTTCTTGCTCGTCTCTCCTGGGGCAGGTTTTGGAGACGGCGTTTAAAGACGACTTCACTGTGGAGCTGCTCCAGACTCCAGAAGTCCCAGGTACAAAACACAAGTCACGTTTCATTATTTAGAATTTTCTCTTTGTTATGAGTCAGAATCTGTTGTTTAAACTTTTATGGAGAGTTTAATTATCGTTGGATTATTTGTATAATTTTATTTTATTATTAATAGTTTTTTTCTATTTTAGTATTTTAAGAAGATTCAACTAGGACCAAAATATGACACAAGAATCAGACCAGGAGTTAGACCAAGAGTTAGACCAAGAGTTAGACCAAGAGTTAGACCAGGAGTTAGACCAAGAGTTAGACCAGGAGTTAGACCAAGAGTTAGACCAGGAGTTAGACCAGGAGTTAGACCAAGAGTTAGACCAGGAGTTAGACCAGGAGTTAGACCAGGAGTTAGACCAGGAGTTAGACCAGAGAGTTAGACAGAGTTAGACCAGAGTTAGACCAAGAGTTAGACCAGGAGTTAGACCAGGAGTTAGACCAGGAGTTAGACCAGGAGTTAGACCAGGAGTTAGACCAAGAGTTAGACCAAGAGTTAGACCAGGAGTTAGACCAGGAGTTAGACCAAGAGTTAGACCAGGAGTTAGACCAAGAGTTAGACCAGGTTAGACTTAGTTAGACCAAGATTAGACCAAGAGTTAGACCAGGAGTTAGACCAGGAGTTAGACCAAGGAGTTAGACCAAGTTAGACCAGTTAGACCAGGAGTTAGACCAGGAGTTAGACCAAGAGTTAGACCAAGAGTTAGACCAGGAGTTAGACCAAGAGTTAGACCAAGAGTTAGACCAAGAGTTAGACCAGGAGTTAGACCAGGAGTTAGACCAGGAGTTAGACCAAGAGTTAGACCAAGAGTTAGACCAAGTTAGTTAGACCAGGTTAGTTAGACCAGGAGTTAGAGTTAGACCAAGAGTTAGACCAAGAGTTAGACCAAGAGTTAGACCAGGAGTTAGACCAGGAGTTAGACCAAGAGTTAGACCAAGAGTTAGACCAAGAGTTAGACCAAGAGAGTTAGACCAGGAGAGAGTTAGTTAGACCAAGAGTTAGACCAAGAGTTAGACCAGAGTTAGACCAGGAGAGTTAGACCAAGAGTTAGACCAGAGTTAGACCAGGAGTTAGACCAGGAGTTAGACCAGAGAGTTAGACCAAGAGTTTAGACCAAGAGTTAGACCAGGAGTTAGACCAGGAGTTAGACCAAGAGTTAGACCAGGAGTTAGACCAGGAGTTAGACCAGGAGTTAGACCAAGAGTTAGACCAAGAGTTAGACCAAGAGTTAGACCAAGAGTTAGACCAGGAGTTAGACCAAGAGTTAGACCAGGAGTTAGACCAGGAGTTAGACCAGGAGTTAGACCAGAGTTAGACCAGGAGTTAGACCAGGAGTTAGACCAGAGTTAGACCAGGAGTTAGACCAGGAGTTAGACCAGGAGTTAGACCAAGAGTTAGACCAGGAGTTAGACCAGGAGTTAGACCAGGAGTTAGACCAGGAGTTAGACCAGGAGTTAGACCAGGAGTTAGACCAGGAGTTAGACCAGGAGTTAGACCAAGAGTTAGACCAGGAGTTAGACCAGGAGTTAGACCAGGAGTTAGACCAGGAGTTAGACCAAGAGTTAGACCAGAGACTAGATCGAGAATCAGACAATGCACAAGACCATGCATGAGACCAGGGACGAGACTAGGGACTAGGCCAAGAATTAGACCAAGAATTATACCAGGAACTAGACCAGGACTTAAAGTAACTAAAATATTCTCTTCTTTTTTCAGTCACTTCTGGAGCGTTTTGTTGTGACGTGGTTCTTGATCCACAGTTGGACTCGTGGGCGCCCTCTGCGGTTCGTACGACTGTTTTAGAATTTTACAGTTTCATTTGTCCGTTTCTAGTTATATTATTTTTAAAAAAATATTTTGAAATTTGTGCAATAATTTTGAAACAAACGTGATTCCTGTAATTTAGGGCTGGACGTAATAACAAACCTTCACCACTAGAGGTCACTAGTGTTGAGCTGATATTTAAAGTCTGCCGTCTTAAACCAGGACTAAACCAGGATGGAAACGAGGACTAGACCAGGGACTAAAGCGAGACTAAACCAGAACTGAATGTAGACTGAACCAGGGACTAAACCAGGGACTAAACCTGGACTAAACCTGGACTAAACCTGCTCTAAACCTGCTCTAAACCTGCTCTAAACCTGGACTAAACCTGCACTAAACCTGGACTAAACCTGCTCTAAACCTGGACTAAACCTGCTCTAAACCTGGACTAAACCTGGACTAAACCTGGACTAAACCTGCTCTAAACCTGGACTAAACCTAAACCTGGACTAAACCTGGACTAAACCTGCTCTAAACCTGCTCTAAACCTGCTCTAAACCTGGACTAAAACCTGGACTAAACCTGCACTAAACCTGCACTAAACCTGCTCTAAACCTGGACTAAACCTGCTCTAAACCTGCTCTAAACCTGGACTAAACCTGGACTCTAAACCTGGACTAAACCTGCTCTAAACCTGCTCTAAACCTGGACTAAACCTGGACTAAACCTGCTCTAAACCTGCACTAAACCTGCACTAAACCTGGACTAAACCTGCACTAAACCTGGACTAAACCTGCACTAAACCTGGACTAAACCTGCTCTAAACCTGGACTAAACCTGCACTAAACCTGCTCTAAACCTGGACTAAACCTGCTCTAAACCTGCACTAAACTGGACTAAACCTGCTCTAAACCTGGACTAAACCTGCACTAAACCTGCACTAAACCTGGACTAAACCTGCTCTAAACCTGGACTAAACCTGCTCTAAACCTGGACTAAACCTGCTCTAAACCTGCAAAACCTGCTCTAAACCTGGACTAAACCTGCTCTAAACCTGCTCTAAACCTGCTCTAAACCTGGACTAAACCTGCTCTAAACCTGCTCTAAACCTGGACTAAACCTGCTCTAAACCTGCTCTAAACCTGCTCTAAACCTGGACTAAACCTGCTCTAAACCTGCTCTAAACCTGCTCTAAACCTGGCCTAAACCTGGCCTAAACCTGGCCTAAACCAGGACCAAACCAGGACCAAACCAGGACCAAACCAGGACCAAACCAGGACCAAACCAGGACTAAACCTCTGAAGGATTGGTCAAATACAGAGGACAGAGTAACTGACAAAAAGGAACAAAAATCTTAATTTGAATCCTTTGTTTGAGTAAAAGTCTGAGCTCTTTACAGTCTTAGAGTCTAAAAATATCCTGCTCTTTTCTTTGAGCTGTTTTGTTTTGAGTCTGTGGTTAAAAATAGATCCTTTGTTTCACTTCAGCCTGAAATAGTTTGTGAAAATTGTAACTGAGATCAGATTTTATATTTGTGTTTGTGTTTATTTATGTTTTGAAAATCCAAGTTTAGTCCAGTTGCGTTCACATTTGAGAGAAGACTGAAACCAGACCAGGACTAGACCGGGACTAGACCGGGACTAGACCAGGACTAGACCGGGGCCAGACTGGGACAGAACTGGGACAAAACCAAGATTAATAGGTCTAAATCAGGTCCAATCCATCAGGTCTACATCTGGACTAAATTGGGATTATACCAGGTCTATGTACCAGGACTGAACCTGGTCTAAAGCAGGTCTAAATCATGTCTACAGCAGGACTAAACTAGGTCTAAAGCAGGACTAAACTAGGTCTGAACCAGGACTGAATTAGGACTGAATCAGGTCTAAAGCAGGACTAAACTAGGTCTGTTCCAGGTCTGGACCAGAGCTAAACCAGGACCGAACCATACCAAGACTAAACCAAGACTAAACCAAGACTAAACCAAGACTAAACCAGGTCTAAACCAAGACTAAACCAAGACTAAACCAGGTCTAAACCAAGACTAAACCAAGACTAAACCAAGACTAAACCAGGTCTAAACCAGGTCTAAACCAGGTCTAAACCAAGACTAAACCAAGACTAAACCAAGACTAAACCAAGACTAAACCAAGTCTAAACCAGTCTAAACCAGTAAACTAAACCAGGTCTAAACCAAGACTAAACCAAGTCTAAACCAGGTCTAAACCAGGTCTAAACCAAGGTCTAAACCAAGACTAAACCAAGACTAAACCAAGACTAAACCAGGTCTAAACCAGGTCTAAACCAAGACTAAACCAAGACTAAACCAGGTCTAAACCAGGTCTAAACCAGACTAAACAAGGGCCAGGGAGGGCATCTGACACACCAGGACATTTAGGTCATTTAGGACATTAAATTACCAAATTAAGTCTTATTTACTTATTTTAAGGTTTCACTTTGTGTTTTATTTATATTGTCGTTGGTTTCATAGTCCTGCTTCATCGGACGGTTGTTTTTTAAGTGTTTTATTATTATTATTATTATTTTTTCTGAGGACATCTGGAGTGTGATCCCACCTCCACCAGACTCACAAACAACAGAGGATCTAAAAGAGTCAGGACCAGACCAGAAATACAGATTATGAGAAACAAGGACTAAACCAGGACTAAAACCAGGGCTGAACCAGGGTCAATCGAGGATTAAACCAGGACTAGATCAGGTCTACATCATTCAGGACTGAACCAGGTCTAAACCAGGTTCAGACAAGGGTAAAACCTTGGCTAAACCAGGTCTAAACCGGGTCTAAACCAGGTCAGATCAGGTTTAGATCATTCAGGACTAAACCAGGACTAAACTGGACTAAACCAGGACTAAACTGGGTCTAAACCAGGACTAAACTGGGTCTAAACCAGGACTAAACTGGGTCTAAACCAGGACTAAACTGGGTCTAAAACCAGGACTAAACTGGGTCTAAAACCAGGACTAAACTGGGTCTAAAACCAGGACTAAACTGGGTCTAAAACCAGGACTAAACTGGGTCTAAACCAGGACTAAACTGGGTCTAAACCAGGACAAAACTGGGTCTAAACCAGGACTAAACTGGGTCTAAAACCAGGACTAAAACTGGGTCTAAAACCAGGACAAAACTGGGTCTAAAACCAGGACTAAACTGAAACCAGGACTGGGTCTAAACCAGGACTAAACTGGGTCTAAAACCAGGACTAAACTGGGTCTAAAACCAGGACTAAACTGGGTCTAAACCAGGGCCAAACTGGGTCTAAACCAGGACTAAACTGGGTCTAAAACCAGGACTAAACTGGGTCTAAAACCAGGACTAAACTGGGTCTAAAACCAGGACTAAACTGGGTCTAAAACCAGGACTAAACTGGGTCTAAAACCAGGACTAAACTGGGTCTAAAACCAGGACTAGATCAGATCTACATCATTCAGGACTGAACCAGGTCTAAACCAGGTTCAGACAAGGGTAAAACTTTGGCTAAACCAGGTCTAAACCAGGTCTGAACCAGGTCTAGATCAGGTCTAGATCAGGTTTAGATCATTCAGGACTAAACCAGGACAAAACTGGGTCTAAAACCAGGACTAAACTGGGTCTAAAACCAGGACTAAACAAGGGTCAATCGAGGATTAAACCAGGACTAGATCAGATCTACTTCATTCAAAACTGAACCAGGTCTGAACCAGGTCTGAACCAGGTCTGAACCAGGACTAAACCAGCTTCAAACAAGGGTAGAACAGGAGCCAAACCAGGACTATAACCCAGGACTAAACCAGGACTAAACACTAAACCAGGACTAAACCAATTATTTGTATGAACTAGAATTTGAACTTCTCAGTATCAATTTAGGAATATATTTTCTAGGCTTTTATTTAAGATGAACAGGTCCAGTTCTAGGCCTGGTCTAGTCCTGGTCTAGTCCTGGTTTAGTCCCACATCAGAACTTGATCTTAAACAGATATAATAATGATTACAAGTATTTTTTAAGATGTTATTTTGATCGTTCCTGTTTAATCGTGTGTGTTGTTGTTGTTGTTGTTGTTGTTGTTTGTGTTCAGGAGTCGTTTCGTTCTCTGACCCGCGGGGCTCAGCTGCTCATCCACCAGGACCTGCCCCTCGAACCTCTGGACGTGCTGCCTGCGGTCGCACTCGAGGTTTTCTCCCACAGCAAGTAAACGCAACACCGCACACACACACACACACACACACAGACATATACACACACATATACACACACACACACACACACTCAGAGTCTCTTCACACTTGACTGGCTGAACAGGGGAGACAGATTTCCTATCGCCTTCGAATGAACCTGGACCTGAAGGGATTCAGTTAGAGTTATTCAATCAAGGACTAAACCAGGACTAAACCAGGACTAAGCAGGGGGCAAATACAGGTCAAAACTAGGACTGAACAAGGTCTAAACGAAGTCTAAACCTGGACTAAACCATGTGTAACAGCAGCTCAGCACCAGGACTAAACTGGGACTACACCTGGACTATACCTCGTTTAAACCAGGTCTAAACCAGGTCTAAATCAGGTCTAAATCAGGTCTAAATCAGGTCTAAATCAGGTCTAAAACAGGACTAAAACAGGACTAAAACAGGACTAAAACAGGACTAAAACAGGACTAAATCTGGACTAAATCTGGACTAAATCTGGACTAAAACTAGTTCTACACCAAGACCAAACTAGAACTTATCAAGGGCCAGTTGGAGACTCAGCCAGGACTAAACCAGGACTAAACCAGGACTAAACCAGGACTCAGCCAGGACTAAACCAGGACTAAACCAGGACTAAACCAGGACTAAACAAATGCTTTGAATAACTCATTGAATCACCTTAGAACCAGGTTCAATCAATCACCAGGACTAAACCAGGACTGAGTCATGACTAAAACGGGACTAAACCAGGTCTAAATCCAGCTCTATTCCGGGACTAAACCAGGTCTAAACCAGGACTTAACTGGAGCTAAAACAGGACTCAACCATGTCAATACCGGGACTAAACCAGAACTAAACTAATCCTTTGAATGAACCTGGTCCTAAGGGGATTCAGTGAGTTATTCTATCATCAGAACTAAACCAGGACTAAGCCACGACGAAGACCAGACTAAACTAGGTCTAAAACCAGCTCTACACCAGGTCTAAAGCTGGGGCTAAACCAGGTCTAAAACAGGACTAAATCTGGACTAAAACCAGCTCTACATCAAGACCAAACTATAACTAAACAAAGGCCAGTTGGAGACTCAACCAGAACTCAACCCAGACTAAAAATTTCTTTGAATGAACCTGGTCCTAATCGGATTCAATTAGTTACTCAATCACCAGGACTAAGCCGGACTAAACCGGGACTAAACCAGGTATAAAACCAGGTCTAAACCAAGTCTTAAACCAGGTTTAAACCAGGACTAAACCAGGTCTAAAACCAGGGTTAAACCGGGACTAAAACGGGACTAAAACAGGACTTAAACAGGACTTAAACAGGACTAAAACGGGACTAAAACGGGACTAAAACAGGACTAAAACAGGACTAAAACGGGACTTAAACGGGACTAAAACAGGACTTAAACAGGACTTAAAACAGGACTAAAACAGGACTTAAACAGGACTTAAACAGGACTAAATCTGGACTTAAAACCAGCTCTACACCAAGACCAAACTAGAAGTAAACAAGGGCCAGCTGGAGACTCAACCCGGACTCAACCAGGACTAAACGAGTCCTTTGAATGAACCTGGTCCTAAGGTGATACAGTTAGATTCATTTAATGGCTCTGCTCTGTCCCACCACTAAAGCTTCATTATGAAACTTTTTTTTTTTTTAGAGAGAATCCTCCACCTTGTTGTTTCCACGGCGATGTTTGTGCGTATCCTGGAATGTTCCGCAGCATGGCATTAAACCTCTCGCATTTACTATTTCACATCTGTTTATTGTTCAAACGCACCTCTCCTCAGTGCTTTTACTTTCCCCGCTTGTTTCCATGGATACAGTATGTTTAATGCCATACTGCGGAACATTCTAGCAATAATAACATCTTTAGAGCGTCTTTAAACGTCTTAATTACCGTGGCAAATGTATCGTGTTCTGGATTTTTTTTAAAAAGAAAAAAGGACCAAACAAAATGTCCGTCGTTTGTGACTGACCGGAGTTTTATTTTTTAATTTTTTTGTTTTGTTTTTGTTTTTTTGTTTCAGGTGTAAACAGGAGGAAGTGGAGAAAATGGCGTCTGAAAACCCCACGGGCACAGTCCAGCTCTACAGGTGACAAAAACTCACATTTACATTTGAATAAAAGGAATGTTACGCAGTGTGGCTTTAGAGATCAGGACAGAGGAACTATTGTGTGGGGTTTGTTTTTGGAAGTTTTGGGATTTGAAATGTGGTGGGATTAACGGATTTTACTCAGAAAAACACACAGAGACAAAGAGAACTGCAGATTATTTTAAACGATTATTACAGATTTGAACAGGTTTAAACCAGGACTAAAACGAGGATTAAACCAGGACTAAACCAGAACTAAACCAGGACTAAAACCAGGTCTAAAAGCAGGACAAAACCAGGACTATACCAGATCTATAACGGGACTGAAACAGGACTAAAACCAGGACCTAAACCAGGAATAAACTGAGACTAAATCAGGACTAAACCAGGACTAAACAAAGACTCAAACCAGAACTTAAACCAGGACTCAAACCAGGACTCAAACCAGGACTTAAACCAGGACTTAAACCAAAAACCAGGACTAAAACCAGGACTAAACAAAGACTCAAACCAGAACTAAACAAAGTCTCAAACCAGGACTAAACCAGGACTTAAACCAGGACTTAAACCAGGACTAAACCAAGGACTAAACCTCGATAAAACCAGGACTAAAACCAGGACAAAACCAGGACTAAAACCAGGACTAAACAAAGACTCAAACCAGAACTAAACAAAGACTCAAACCAGGACTTAAACCAGGACTTAAACCAGGACTTAAACCAGGACTAAACCAAGGACTAAACCTCGATAAAACCAGGACTAAAACCAGGACTAAAACCAGGACTAAACCAGGACTAAACAAAGACTCAAACCAGAACTAAACAAAGACTCAAACCAGGACTAAACCAGGACTTAAACCAGGACTTAAACCAGGACTAAAACCAGGACTAAAACCAGGACTAAACAAAGACTCAAACCAGGACTAAACAAAGACTCAAACCAGGACTTAAACCAGGACTAAAACCAGGACTAAAACCAGGACAAAACCAGGACTAAAACCAGGACAAAACCAGGACTAAACAAAGACTCAAACCAGGACTAAACAAAGACTCAAACCAGGACTTAAACCAGGACTTAAACCAGGACTAAAACCAGGACTAAAACCAGGACTAAACAAAGACTAAAACCAGGACAAAACCAGGACTTAAACCAGGACTTAAACCAGGACTAAAACCAGGACTAAACAAAGACTAAAACCAGGACAAAACCAGGACTAAACAAAGACTCAAACCAGGACTAAACAAAGACTCAAACCAGAACTAAACCAGGACTTAAACTAGGACTTAAACCAGGACTAAAACCAGGACTAAACAAAGACTCAAACCAGAACTAAACCAGGACTTAAACTAGGACTTAAACCAGGACTTAAACCAGGACTTAAACCAGGACTAAAACCAGGACTAAAACCAGGACTAAACAAAGACTAAAACCAGGACAAAACCAGGACTAAACAAAGACTCAAACCAGAACTAAACCAGGACTTAAACTAGGTCTTAAACCAGGACTTAAACCAGGACTTAAACCAGGACTAAAACCAGGACTAAAACCAGGACTAAAACCAGGACTAAACCAGGACTAAACCAGACTTAAACCAGACTAAACTCAGACAAAATCAGGACTAAACATGATTAAACCCATGACTAAAACCAGAAATAAATCAGGTTTAACCCAGCACTTAACCTGGTCTAAAAGAGGACTAACACAGAACAAAACCTGGACTTTAAAGACAGTTTTATGAAATCCTTGTATTTCAGAACACGTTTGTAGAGTTTTAAACAAATCAGAATCGACCTAAAAGTTACACAGTGCAGCTTTAAATAACCGCACCTCCTGTTTATCTGTTTCTTCTTTTGTGTTTTTGTCTTTTCAGGTGTGGGGATCATGTTCTTCTGTCGCGAGGCCCTCTAGTGGCCAGGACGGGTCTGTGCGGTCAGTTCGAGGTGACCGCGGTCCACAGTTTGGGCCCCGGGCCGTGGGGTCTCCGTCGCCGAGCGCAGGGGCTGTCTCTGCCCGCACAGCTACAGGTAACTCCTACGGGGGAAGAAACAGTTTATTTACACGTTTTATTTATGTGTTTGTTTTGTTCTGTCGCTCACTGGTGCCGTTTCCTTTCAGGCTCATCACACCGTCTGGAATAAATTAAGGAAAAGAGCCGAAAAACTGGTAAGAAAATTATTATTAAACATCACTGAGCCTCATTCATGAAGTGTTTTTACTCTCTCCCTCGCGTTTTCACATATAATAAAGCCAAACCCATATTGACCATATATTTAAAGGTTGTATGGAGGATTTTTTTTTTTTGTTTCAAACTGTCAATGAAAGTTTAAAATACCATTACAGAGATACAGCAGCCTTGTAATTATAATGACCAAAAAAAAAAGAATGAAAATCCATCAACTGTGGACGTAGTGAAGCCAGATAAACATCAGCCAATAGAAAACGAGGCTCCCTCATTTTCTATTGGCTGTTAGGCTGTCAATCAAACTCCCTATGTTTCTAGTGTAACTGACTCATCGGCGCGCTGGGATTACATGGTTTATTCAGCGGTTCTTAGAGGCTTTTTTAAACTGTAGCTTTTACGCAATTTGCACAAAGTTTGTTGCGATTGCGGATGAGAATCCACGAATAGTTTGTCGCAACAGAAAGTCAGTTTTTGAGGTCGCTGAAAGACGAAGAGAAGGGGAAAAGGAGCAAAACCAAACTGGGGTGATTCTTGGAGATTCCTTCCAGTAATGGCGCGACTGAAGCAGACGAAGGGCCTAAAAACTGATGTGTCAGTCGCTAAATTATTTCTAGACAGGTCACTTCAACAGTAATTCTGAACACGCACGGCTGTAAACAAGCGTGATTTCTAGAGTAAAGAGGCGGGAGGAGATGTTTCTGCTGAGGCTGTGGAGGAGGAAGGTGGTGTCACGCATGCACAACATTTAAAAAAGGACTGTGGCTGTATTTCTCTTCCCTTAAAAAATCCTCTATACAACCTTTAAGAGGGTGTTTCTTAATAAATACTAGGGTTGTTCCAATACCGATATTGATACTGATACCAGCACTAACTCAGATTTGTTTACTCTGCATAATTAGCCATGTGCTCTGAGGATGAGCGTCTTTTTACAGGCCTCACTGTTGTTTTAATCTGCAGTATGATAGAAATTACGAATTAGAAAAGTAAAAATATTTAAATCAGCTCTACTTGTTCAAGACCATTTTACATTTAGCAAATTTAATCCTCCAAATGTAATTCATTCTTGAAGATTTTCTTAAAAAGAGAATGAGGCTACGTCCAGACAGCAACGCTTCCGGATATTTTTTTTGCGGTTTGAAAAAAATTTGCGTCCACACACGTGTCGGATCAATAAATATTCACGTTCACATGACAACGGAGCAGTGAGGGAAAACGATGTAATACACATGTCACACCTGTATGTGGAGCTGTAAACACTGAGACTAAGACGAATCAAAGATGAGACCGAGATGAAGGCCGAGACGGGACCGAGACGGGACCGAGACGGGACCGAGACGGGACCGAGACGGGACCGAGACGGGACCGAGACGGGACCGAGACAAATCGAAGACGAGACCAGGACGAATTGAAGACGAGACTGAAACAGAGACTGAAACAGACACGAGACCGAGACGGGACCAAGACAAGACCAAGACGAATCGAAGACGGGACTAAGACGGGACTAAGACGGGACCAAGACGAATCGAAGACGGGACCGAGACGGGACCGAGACAAATCGAAGACGAGACTAAGACGGGACCGAGACTAAGACGGGACCGAGACGAATTGAAGTCAAAACCGAGACAAAACCAAAACGAGACCAGGACGAGACCAGGACGAACCAAGGACGAGACTGAAACAGAGACTGAAACAGACACGAGACCGAGACGGGACCAAGACGGGACCAAAACAAATCAAAGACGAGACTAAGACGGGACCAAGACAAATCGAAGACGAGACTAAGACGGGACCGAGACGAAGACGGGACCGAGACGGGACCAAGACGAATCCAAGACGGGACCAAAACAAATCGAAGACGAGATTAAGACGGGACCAAGACAAATCGAAGACGAGACTAAGAGGGGACCAAGACAAATCGAAGACAAGATCGAAGACGAATCGAAGACGAATCGAAGACGAATCGAAGACGGGACCAAGACGGGACCAAAACAAATCGAAGACAAGACTAAGACGAGACTAAGACGGGACCAAGACGAATCGAAGACAAATCGAAGACGAGACTAAGACGGGACCAAGACAAATCGAAGACAAATCGAATCGAAGACAAATCGAAGACAAATCGAAGACGAATCGAAGACGAATCGAAGACGAATCGAAGACGAATCGAAGACGCGGCCAAGACGAGACCTAGATTTAAAAAAAAAAAAAAAAAAAACGGAACCGGTTCCTTAGTGACATTAAACATCTCTACTTTACATTTATTCAATCACAGGTGGTTTTATCGCTCAAAAATACTTAGAAAAACAAACATTCTGACTGTGAGCGGGGTCGCCTCTCCACAGACCTGACCTGCCACTTGGAGAAAAGCGTTCGACAGACCCTCCACCAGAAAAGCAACAACAAAAATCTGCATTCTGTCAAAAGTCTCAGCAGTCTGTCATTAGTTCAGACTGACCTTGGTTAATTTCGCCGTCTCCGTTTTTAAATTACGACCAATTAATGAAACAACCATAAATCGCGAAAAGGTCCCGGAAGCGCCCTTGAAAATAATTCCTTAAGTAATGAGGACATAGCTGGTTTCTTAGCACAAAAACCACCACTCGTCTTAGCCCCCAGTTAGGATTTTACGACTATTTTTACCACTTTAGTTTGGCTCCGGATCAAAACGAAGACACTTGGAAGGACAGGCGGCTCTAAAGGGTCCGTCCCGTCCAAAAAGTGGAAGTTTTTAAGGATTCTGGCGACGATTTCTGCATAAACTGTGGATATTAAATAACTAGGGTGGGAGTTAAATTTGGATGTGGAGCAAACAGGCTTCATTATCTGGCAACCGGGCTTGTTTATTAATAGATTAGCTTAATTTTGACGACGCATGTGACCTATATTTTCTGTTTGTGCAAAAATAGACAATGACGAAGGAAACGCGCGTATTAAAGCGTGGACTCGAGCTGGAGATTAAAGCGCCCGCATTACGCCGTTTTCTGAGCTGTGTTCTAATGTTTCCTCATCACAAACAGACCTGGAGTTGTCAGAGTTCTCACGGTCATTTAAATATCTTTTTCACGCAACTACAACGTTCTGTTAAGTTCTTCTTTTTTGTTTTTAAGTTTTATTTATTTAAAAGGGACAGTGCATATTCATGAACACATGGGTCTGGTCAAGTGTTAACGGAGGGAAACAGGGGCAGATTTTTGACATTCAAATGTCTCTTATTCAGAAACTAGAGGAACTATTGAAATAAGTAAAGTATCAGAATGTAGGAAAGAGTTACACTCCAACAGGGTCAAGTTAAACCTGTGAGATTCTTTCAAGTTGTTCACAAAAAATTTAAAAACTCATGTCGGTAACGGAGGGAATGAAATATGCAGCACTTTTTGGGCAATAAATCCCACCGGCACAGTGGCTGAGTGGCTAGCACTCATGCCTCACAGCAAGAAGGTTCTGGGTTCGATCCCCGCGTCGCCTGGGCCTGTGTGGAGTTTGCATGTTTCTCCCCGTGTCTGGGTGGGTTTCCTCCGGGTGCTCCGGTTTCCCCCATCAACCCAAAACATGCTCCAGGTCTCCAAGAACAGTTGATAGTGGTGATGGTGGTGGTCGGAGGGACCGATGGCGCCGAGTGGCATGGCAGCCGCGCCTCTGTCAGTGTGCCCCAGGGCAGCTGTGGCTACAATAGTAGTAGCTTACCATCACCAGGTCTAGAGTGAATGAATAATGCTGTATGAATGAATAATGCTGAATAATGCTGTGTAAAGCGTCTTTGGGGACAGAAAATGTCTGTGAAAGCACTATATAAATAAAGACTTACTTACTTAAATCCAAACAGTGATAACTCTTGGTTCTCACTTCCATATCCTTAACAAACTGGTTTGAATATTTGCTTCATATAGTTTTCTACCATATGGTACAAGATTAGGTGGAAAAACCTCTGACTTTTTGACTCATGAGATTTTTTATTAATAAAGGTCATGGTAACGGAGGGAAAAGTAACGGAGGGAAAATTGTTCAAACAAGTAGAAGGTGCAGGATTTTACATCATTTGTCAACTTTTCCTTCCTAATACTTTAATATTACTTCAAAATGAAAGGAAACTATTTCTATAAAATATGTCAGTCCTTCCAAGGAAATTTTTATCATTTTAAATACTTTTTTTTTTTTTTTTTAAATCATGTCCCTTCATCAACAGTTCAAAGATGGAATAACACAAGATATGATGAAATACATCCATTTATTTACATGATTTTTGGGTCTTTGAAATTTGGGAAATAATTTTTGTTCCATGTTTCATACATGGTCTGTTTAAAAACATATGGAACTTTACAACCAAAAATGGCACAGAAAAAAGGTTTCATAAACTAGAGAACATATGTATCTGTTCAATACATTTTTATATCAGATGCATTAACTTGAATTTTTGGCCTTGCTGACATGAGTTTTTTAATTTTTTGTCAACAACTTGAAAGAATCTCACAGGTTTAACTTGACCCTGTTGGAGTGTAACTCTTTCCTACATTCTGATACTTTACTTATTTCAATAGTTCCTCTAGTTTCTGAATAAGAGACATTTGAATGTCAAAAATCTGCCCCTGTTTCCCTCCGTTAACACTTGACCGGACCCTTTTGTTGAGGTTGACGTGTTTTTAAGATGGTAAAAATCAGGTACAGATCTTTAAAAAATCCAAAAAAGATCACAGAATTAACTTTTGTCACTATCACCCGTCGATGTACTAATCCTTACTTTTAAAACCTGCAAACTGATCTATTTTTCACTTTTTTAAAACGGTAAAACTCAGATAGAGCTCCTTTGAACATTTCTTTTTTGCAGTTTTAATATTGCCCACAGATCTACTCTCTCTGATATTATGAGTCTGAAGGCGTCCCCCTCCCTCCGTCTTGTCCCGTCCATGTTGATACCGGCCGTTCTGACGCAGGTGAAGGACGCGGAGACGGGGACGCTGTAAAAACCTAGAGGACGCACATTAGCAAATGACTCGAAGGAAGAGGACAATAGCGAACGGGCGAACGCTAATAAACCACACAATCAATATGGATAATTAAAGGGCCGGAGCATCGCCTGGATAATGAGATAATGCACAGCGCGGCGATTTATACACGAGGAAACACGGAGGAACAACGTGAAACAGGTTTTAATAAGGAATATAATGAAGGTTAAAGGTTCGATAGTACACAAAACAGACTCTTGTGAGCTTTAAGTCCTGTTATGATGTTGTTTCATCCTCAAAAACAGAACTGGAGTTGTGTTTTCTTTCTATATTTACGTCCCTATTTCCTCAGGACAGTCCTAGTTTTGAGCCCTGTGTCCCCTGTCCCAGTAGATTTACCCAAAACCATTAGATTTGTCCCAGTTTTATACAAGAAATGTCCTATTTTTGAGCAATTTAATACCTTTTAGAGCTGCTTGATGATGGAAAAAATCATTATCACTATTATTTTGGTCAATATTGAAATCACGATTATTCAAACGATGCATCTATTCAGCGTTTCTCTCTCAAAAAAACACTTTGTTATTGATAATTTTTGCCAGATTTTCAAATTGAGAATAAATATAGGCTACAAATATGAATCTTTTTGCAGTTTTGCGACGTGTAAAACATAAAATGAATAAAACGTAAATGTATCCAAAATAAACTATATATCCAGCTGTTCTACAATCTCTATATTTAAAAAAAATTAATAAATATACTTATTTAATATATTAATATCCGAACAATAAGCTTTGTTAAGCTTTAAATTGTTACATGAGTTTGGAGATTGTTTAGACTTAGACTGAAACACTTTATTTATTGACAAACTTTATTGATCCACAAGGGAAATTATTTGTATTATACATCATAATATAATATAATAACAAAGAGCAAAAATATAAATAGTAATGATAAATTCTAACATAATTAAAACCCTCACACTCTCCTCGGGGTCACATTCACCTGAAGAAAGAGTGTTTTTCTTCCTCATACTGGTTTGTCAAAGCCTGGTCCCGTCAGATCTCAGACGTTCAGCAGGTCTGGGTCTGGTCAGGACTTGGATGAGACACTGGGAAAACCAGGAGCCACAGGAAGTCGTAAAAACTGTTGTTGTGTCCTTAGGCAAGACACTTCACCCACATTGCCTAGTATGAATGTGGAGTGTGTGTGAGTGATGTTGGTGGTCGGAGGGACCGATGGCGCCGATTGGCATAGCTGCCGCGCTTCTGTCAGTCTGCCCCAGGGCAGCTGTGGCTACAGTAGTATTTACCATCACCGGGTGTGGAGAAAAAGAATAATGAATATATAAAAATGCTCTGTAAAGTGTCTTTGTGACATACGTCTGTGAAAAGAGCTGTATAAATAAAGACTGACTTATTTACTTCCCACTCTCTTGGGGCAGGTCAATCAGACCCGAGAATTTATTTGAAAATACATTTTTGGGTCTGATTGACCCAAGAGAGCGGGAAGGGAAAAAAGTCTTTCTTCGGGTCAGTGTGACCCCGAGGAGAGCGTGAGAGTTAAGACCTAAATACAGTAAAAAAATAAATAAACTAGAAAGATAAATACTGTATTTTTTGGACTATAAGTTGTTCTGGAGTATAAGTCGCACCAGCCAAAAAATGTGTAATGAAGAAGAAAAAAACATATAAGTTGCACTGGACTGTAAATTGCTCTTTTTGGGGGAAATTTACTTTATAAAATCAGAGACCAGGAACCGACATTCCGTCTTGAAGTTACAGTAACACGACACGACAAGTTACAGTTGTACGACACTCGGGGACATTTCAGAACATGTTTGTACAGATCTCAACTACAGGGTTTGCAGCTTTTTGCAGTCTTTGCCATTTGTTCATTGCTACTACGACTGCGTAAGAGGACGGGAGAGTTTCACACGGGAACACAGGACGGGAGGGCATCTGGTACACAAGGTTATAAAAGGATTGGAGGGCGTCTAACAAGGATAGAGGAGGATAACACGGCATCTGACACAGGGATACAGAAGCATGGAAGGACATCGCAGACAAAGGGGATATAGGAGGGAGGGAGGGAAGGGCATCTGACACGAGCGTACAGTTTGACGGGAGGGCATCTGACGCACGCGGGGATATCGGGAGGTAGCGCGGCATCTGACAAAGGGATCCGGGAGGACGGGAGGGCATCCGACGCACAATAATAACGTTAACATTATTTTAACAGACAGTCCATGTTCCCCCGAGTGTCTGGGGTCTTGTCTTTAATATAACCCTCGTCTCCTATCTCCTCGACGCCTAGTTCCTCGTCTCCTTCGCCGTCTCCTTGAGTTAATAGCTTTGTGATTTGGGAGCGCCGTCTCTATCCGTGAGATTGGAACGTTCCCGGACACGGCTAATGAAGTTTGAGCTTATTTTTGGTGCAATATGTTTTAAAAAGATGTAAAGGAAGATGCTGAGATTCGAGAAAGGGCCGCAGAAGTGTCGAGAATCAGATCCTAACCGATACTCGAGCCGATATCGAAAGTAGATCCTGGTTTTTCGCAGGCGTCGAGAGCACGTGGACCTGGTTTAGACCTGGACCGCTGAGGGATCAAACAGACACAAGGACACGTGGGATTAGAAAAGAAAAGTACGACCATTTAATACTGAAAATCACATTCTATAGACCTTTTTCACAACGACCGGAAGCTTTTCTGTGGCAAAACGTGCGTGTAAATGTCTTCCGTTTCCCCAAATCTTCAGCCAAAGAGGTCCACAAAGGATAAACATTCTAACATGAAGAATCTATCCACAACTATCGAAGTAAGAAAGACGAAAACTCAAAAGAGAACGACGACGACGCATGAGTGAACTCCTCCTGGTCTGGTCATGAATAACTTAAGTCATAAGCGATTCGTTATTAAGTAACTTGTTCACTCAGACTGATTCTAGAATTAAAATTAAAAATTGAGTGATTTCATGATGTAGATACTAAATCCGTGTGTCATTCGTTTATTTGTTTTTCAAAATAAAACCAAAAATAAGAACGAAATATGAAAAAACAACAATGATTTTCTTCATTATTTGTCTCCAAAACCAAAATGAAAAAACAGATAATGATTCAGTTTTTTCAGTTTTTCATTTGTGTTTAAATGAAAAATGGAAAAAACGGTTAACGGCCGTTTCCCGTTTCTTCCGTGACTGCGATGCCGGACTGAACCAGGACTGAATCAAGACTAAAACGGGACTAAACCAGGACTAAACCGTTTTCAGTTCTGGTCTCAGTTCTGGTCTAATCCCAGTCTTAGTCCTGGTCCTGGTCTAAGTCCTAGGTCTAGTCCCTGACCAGTTTTAGTTCCAGTTCACTCCAGCGTCGCAGTTCAAGTTTTAAATTTTTTTTTCCATTTTTCATTTATACGCAAAATCGAAAACTGTGAAAACGAATCATTTCCCGTTTTTTTGTTTGTTTGTTTTTTGTTTTGGAGACAAATAATGAATTATTTATTTATTTTTTTGTTATTTTTGGTTTTATTTTGAAAAACAAATGATACACGGAGTATACTAACATAGATATTCAGATTTGTGCAGTTTAAATGCTACAGATGTTCACAGATCACATGTCTATCATTTAAACTGCACAAAGCTGAACATGTTAATATCGACATCATGAAATGGATTTTTAATTTAAATTAACAAGTTCCTCATGTTTTATTCATGACCATAACATTAGTTTTTCTCAGTATTTCACAAACGCGTCGTCGTTGTTCGCCTTTAAGTTTTCGTCTTTCTTACCTTGATAAACTCTCAGTGCACAATAAATGCACTGACAGGATTTTGAACGTTAAAAAACTATAATATCAAACCATAAGGTGAGTGGAAAAGATTAACATTTCATATTTAGCTCCAAAAGTCCGATCAGTTCTACACATGTCGGTGCTGTAAAGTCATGGAAAAGTTTTGAAATTTTGTCCGTGAAAAAGGACCCTGGGAACCCTGTTTACTACTTTTACTTCTCTACGTTCCAGTGTTCGCCGTGACGTTCCGCCTTTTTCCGATCTTTTTCAGTTTGAACCGTTCCAGACTGATCATTTGTAGAACCCCACAGTTTACTCACTTGCGCCCAAAAACTCGTACATGTTTGTGTGATCAGAGTAGAAGTAGGTTTACTAAGGTATAAAATGTTCTAAGTAAGTCCGGTGAAGGCAAATGGACTCACTTCTGGATCGCCACCTGATGATGTCACAAGGTGGAACCAGGCGTTTTGAACTCTGGAGAGCGAGGCAGACTAAAGCGAAACAAGCAGGTGAAAACTCAAACATCTGTACCTGATTTCTAGAGCTTTTCACAACTTTTAAAATTTAGTTTTGCTTAATCAGGGTAACGGTAACAACAACTAGCATGCTAACAATCTTACTTCCTGGTTCGTGGACGATAAAAACGGTTTATAATTCGACGCAGACAGTTCACAATAGATTTATTTTGACGTCTAGAGCTGCTTATACAAGATATTCATACTGGGGCAAGACAGATTTTAGTCTATTTAATTAAAAATTGTCTTTAAATTAAATCTTCAAGCTTCTGTCTTTGTTTTTTTTTTTTACAGGTTGAAGTTCCGAATTCTGACGTGACTCCGCCCACTTCCGCAGCTCCCAGCCAATAACTGTCGACCAAATATCTGAATTATAAACCTTTAATATATAAATATGTCAAATTCAACGTACCACTTTGCTCCTCCAAACAAAATCTGCCATCGACTGTAAAGTTCTGGTGTTTTCTGTTTAATTGTAAAATGAAAACTCGTCTTTGTGTTTTGTTTAATAAAAAGATTTAACAGATTTGTGTTTATTTGTGAGTAATTAGTCATGCTCAGATTTTGACTCTAACTATGACATACTGTATGTAAAGGTTTAATAATAATAATAACATCAAACAATTCACTTCAGACTTTAATGTTTGATTTTTAGTTGAAAAAAATGTGGCATTTTCAGCATCTTATAAATGGACCATATCTAAAAATATTCATGACAGTTGGATGATTTCTTGATACGTTTGGACAGAAGACAAGTACCGTATTTGGGTTTAGATCTTGGTTAGACCTGGTTTAGATCTGGCTTTGACTTGGTTTTATCCAGGTCCTGATTCTGATAATGGTTAGACCTGGTTTAGACCTGGTTTAGACCTAGACTTGGTTTGGGACAGCTTCCAGTTCAGACCTGGTTTAGACCTCGTTTAGACCTGGTTTAGACCTAGTTTAGACCTTGGTTTAGACGAGGGCTAGACCTGGTTTAGACCTGGTTTAGATCTTGGTTAGACCTGGTTTAGATCTGGCTTTGACTTGGTTTAATCCAGGTCCTGATACTGATTATGGTTAGACCTGTTTTAGACCTCAGTTAGACCTAGACTTGGTTTGGGACAGCTTCCAGTTCAGACCTGGTTTAGACCTGGTTTAGACCTGGTTTAGACCTTGGATTAGATGAGGGCTAGACTGGTTATATTTACAGAATTATTCGGGCCTTTCTGAATCCCGACAGGATGGTTTCGGTGTCACTGAAGGACCTTGGCTTAGACCTGGTTTAGACCTCGGGTTAGACCTGGTTAGACCTGGTTAGACCTAGTTTACCTGTTTTAGACTTGGTTTAGACGAGGGCTAGACCTGGTTATATTACAGAATTATTCGGGCCTTTCTGAATCCCGACAGGATGGTTTCGGTGTCACTGAAGGACCTTGGCTTAGACCTGGTTTAGACCTCGGGTTAGACCTGGTTTAGATCTTGGTTAGACCTGGTTTAGATCTGGCTTTGACTTGGTTTAATGCAGGTCCTGATACTGATTATGGTTAGACCTGGTTTAGACCTCAGTTAGACCTAGACTTGGTTTAGGACAGCTTCCAGTTCAGACCTGGTTTAGACCTTGTTTAGACCTTGGTTAGACCTTGGTTAGACCTTGTTTAGACCTTGGTTAGACCTTGGTTAGACCTGGTTAGACCTTGTTTAGACCTTGGTTAGACCTGGTTTAGACCTGGTTTAGACCTAGTTTAGACCTTGGTTTAAACGAGGGCTAGACCTGGTTTAGACCTGGTTTAGATCTTGGTTAGACCTGGTTTAGATCTGGCTTTGACTTGGTTTAATCCAGGTCCTGATACTGATTATGGTTAGACCTGTTTTAGACCTCAGTTAGACCTAGATTCGGTTTAGGACAGCTTCCAGTTCAGACCTGGTTTAGAACTTGGTTAGACCTAGTTTAGACCTTGGTTAGACCTTGGTTAGACCTTGGTTAGACCTTGTTTAGACCTTGGTTAGACCTTGTTTAGACCTGGTTAGACCTTGTTTAGACCTTGTTTAGACCTTGGTTAGACCTTGTTAGACCTTGGTTAGACCTTGGTTAGACCTTGGTTAGACCTTGGTTAGACCTTGGTTAGACCTTGGTTAGACCTTGGTTAGACCTGGTTTAGACCTTGTTTAGACCTTGGTTAGACCTTGGTTAGACCTTGGTTAGACCTTGGTTAGACCTTGGTTAGACCTTGGTTAGACCTTGGTTAGACCTAGACCTGGTTAGACCTGGTTAGACCTTGTTTAGACCTTGTTTAGACCTTGGTTAGACCTTGGTTAGACCTGGTTTAGATCAGGGCTAGACTGGTTATATTTACAGAATTATTCGGTCTTTCTGAATCCCAACAGGATGGTTTCGGTGTCACTGAAGTCCAGACTTTGTCCAGTGACTTCAGGAAAGTTTCATGTTTCATTCTCCCGGAGTCACAAGTCAATAATAATAATAATAATAATAATAATAATAATAATAATATTAATAATAATAATAATTTTGTTGCTATTTTCATTTCTATTATGATTTCACTTGTTATATGTTCCATTGTATATGAATTTAAATCTTTACTTGCCCAAAATAAATGCGTAAAAAAATAATAATAAATAAAAAATACATACATCTCTGATTTTATCATCACCACACCTATATTTGTGAAGAAAAAATAAATAAAAAAGCAACTCTATCTACAACAGAAAGTACAAAAATGTATGTAATTGTTGCGCGAACTGTTTGTGTCACGAAGGATATGAGAGGGTTAAACAACATTAATATAAGCCCTTGAAATAAAGTTTAAATACTAAAAAATAAAAAGGAACCAACTTAAAATGACTCAAAGTACAGGTCAGATTCTGAGTTTGCAAAATTTCCAGAAACAAGGCACTACCAGGGAAAATAAGGTGTTAGTAATAACCCTGGTATTTCTTCTTAAACGCTGATGTGATTCCACGGAAATAGGAGGTCAAAACCAGACTTTGGCACGTTCCCTAAGGAGATTGACACGTTTTAAGCCGTACTGTGGAATATTTTGGCCAAAAGGAACAATATTTCCATGGAAACGAGCAGAAAGAGTCAGGTTTGTGGAGACGCAAGCCGACTCAGGGTAAAGACGCGATAAAAACACATCATGCTTTTATTGTAGTCTCTTTTCGTCTATAAAAAGTTGCATACTGTGGCTTTAATGTGAGTCAAAACCCCAGCGATGCCTCTTGTCTGTTTTCATATCGCAGTGAAATTATTAAATGTCCCGCAGTGTGACTTTACGACCCGGTGCCAGCGCTTGTGCAATAACAGTCGCCTCCTGTGTAAAAACATGCCACTGCCGCATACTTGTGTAGTACTGCGTGTACTTGTGTAGTACTTTTGCGTACGTTTGCAGCTGTTTTGTCTGTGGAGGGAGGAGGGCAGGTGCTGCTATCAGTCACTCGCACTTGTTTTGCACGATTCCTCCCATCATGCACTGCGGTTTGAAATTTGAGACGACAGATTTTGCGAGTCTTGCTTCTTTAAAAGGCCCATGTTCCACCATTGTCTGTGTTTTGTTTCGTTCACACACGTTTAACACACAAACCTGCAGATTTAGGCTGAGCTCTTATCTTCTCCCAAACTGAAAACGCTCCGTTCCACCTTGTGATGTCATGTGGTAAGACAGGAAGTGCTCCACTATGTTTATAAACTCCACACATCTTCACTAGAATCATCTGGATCATTTCAGACCTGGAATTCCCAATCTCTACTGAAGTAAAGGTAAAATGTAGTCGTTAACTTGAAAGCTGCCGCCTGGTGGAATGAAGCATTTTGAGCTTTGGAGATGTAGACAGACTAATAATAAAGGAAAAAATAAAAACTAAAAACGTGTGTGAATGAAAAGAAAACACAACTCCAGGTCTGTTTTTGATTAAAGGTTGTATAGAGGATTTTCCAAGGAACGAGAAATCCAGCGACTGTTTGTCCTTTTTCAAATGTTGCGCATGTGTGAAACCACCTCCCTCTCCCCTACAGCTCCTACGTAGAAACACCTCCTCCCTCCTCCTCCTTACGCCAGAAACAGGTTTGTTTACAGCCGCTGCACATGACTTGTAAACAACTAACTACAGTGTTGGTTAGACAAGACGGAGAAGTGAGGAGCGGGGGGAGGGGTGTGCGAATATTTCGTTCGCGGACGAGAAGTGAGGAGCAGGAAGAAGAGCGGAGCAGGAGAGAGAGAGAGGAGAGAGGAGAGAGGGAGAGAGGAGAGGAGAGGGGAGCGGTGCGCGGAGATTCCGTGCCCGGAGAAGTGAGGAGCAGGGGGAAGAACGGATCGGGCAGCGGGGAGAGGAGCAGGAAAGGGGTGCAGAGAAGAGTGCGCGGAGATTCCGTGCGAATGAACTAGCTACAACACGCAGCAGCAAGCGGACTCTTTCTTTGCACTGAAAATTACGTTTTCAGACATAGGATATCGCATTCGTGTCCTGAAAAACGTTTGTGTAGCTCTTGGAAATAAAGTACGTTTTCATAATAAGCAGAAGTTTCCTGTCCAGGAGTAATTTGTGGACCAGTGTGTCAGTCTTTAGACCCTGCGTCTGCTTCAGTCGCGCCATCGCTGGAATGAATCTTCAAGAATCACCTTAGTTTGGCTTCGCTGCTTTTCCCCTTGTCTTCTTCTTTCAGCGACCTCAAAAACGGACTTTCTTTTGCGGCGAACTGCTCCTGGATTCTTGTCGCTATTGCAACAAACTTTGTGCGAACTGCGAGGAAGAAATAGGTCAAAAAAAGCCGCTAAGAACTGTTGCGTTGGTGGAGTAAACAGCGTCTGTGCGTCTTGCGTCTGTGGACTGTCGTGACAGTCGTACGTAAACCACGTACCGGCGGCGCAGGCAAGTCAGTTACACTAGAAACGTAGGGAGTTTGATTGACAGCCTGTCAGCTCACAGATAACGAGGCAGTGTCGTTATCTATTGGCAAATGTTTAGCCCCACCACGTCCAGAGTTGATGAATTTTTATTCTCTTTTTTTTGGTCATCATAATTACAAGGCTACTGCATCTCTATAATCTATCATTGACAATTTGAAACAAAACAAAAAAAATAAAATAATCCTCCATACAACCTTTAAATAACATTTCAAAATAACAACAAATCTCAAAATAATACCATCCATCCATTTTCTTCCACTTATCCGGGGCCGGGTCCTGGGGGCATCAGTCTAAGCAGGGACTCCCAGACTTCCTTCACCCCAGACACTTCCTCCAGCTCCTTCTTGGGGACCCCAAGGTGTTCCCAGGCCAGTCCAGAGACATAGTCCCTCCAGCGTGTCCTGGGTCTTCCCTGGTGGGACACGCCCAGGAGGAAACCAGAGGTGAGGGGAGGAACGTAGACTGACGGTAACTCGAGAGCTTCTTCACCTTCCGGCTCAGCTCCTCTTCGTCACAAAGGTCCGATACAGCGACCGCATCACTGCCGACGCTGCACCTGTCCACCTGTCAATCTCACGCTCCATCCTCCCGAGATACTTGAACTCCTCCACTCCTAAACAAT